TTACATTTGCCCCCCCCCCCCCCCAGCACCACTAAAAACAATTCCTTACACGCCTCAATTCATCTGAATGAAGTTCCTTATCAATGGAAAAGATACAAACCTTTCGGTCTTAGTTTTCTGATGGGTTGCTCAATTCCAGATCCCTCCAGAAATTCCTCAAGACGTGGGCCTGGAACCGAAAAGAGCTTTTGAAAATAAGCAACATTTCGGCTCCTATCCATAGAGGTGCAAAGCCGCACTGTGTGAGAGAAGGTCTCTGGTCTCACGGATGGAAGAAGAAGGGTGATCAGTCCGGTGAAACGGTCCTGAGATGCGGTTAATATCACTGCTGGTGATAAGATATTCACTTCAATGAGATACTCTCCATGGTTCTAGAGAAAATCACATGGAATATTAGGTCTTTATCACCTGAACTTAAACTCAAAATTCTCAATTTAGCACAGTAAGAGTGTATTGAGGTTTTTCGCTTTTGAGTTTTTTTAAAATTATTATTTTTATTTTTAGGGTCTTGACTGACGGCAGTTTGATGAGGTGGCCAATAGTCTGCAAAAAAAACGAGAATATGTACATCATTGACATTAACCTAGCATAAAACCTTCAATAACATCCACGAGGAAATCTCTAGATTCGGTCAAAAATATCTCAACCTCACCTTTGAGGCGTGCTGCCCCCTCCCCCCCCCCTCACCCCTCCTTCCAAACATGCTCAATCCTTAAAACCGCTAGTGGAGTAGAGAAGTCTCAACCCTCTCAAAGCTCCTCGACATCGTAGAATGCGAAGACGTTGAATGAGAAAGTATTTAGGTAATATTTGCTTGACGAAAAGACAAAGATAACTTTCAACAGAGAGATGATGATCAAGTACCAGTGACGTTTTTTTAGCAGGCACTGTTTTAAATTTGATTTACTCACAACAGAAAATCCAGCCTCGGTAGGACTCATCTCCCAGCGACATATTTCATAACTGGGGTATAATTCAATTCCCAGTCGATAGTGAATGACGACATATGGCCAATGAACTGTAGGATGTTCCATTGCACTGTCCAAGCTGGGAGGGATTTGTCGAAGACGATAAAACGATTCGAGTCCATGGTACCTCTTAAGGCTAAGAATAATAAGATGCAGTGTTTGGTGCTGAGATACCTCTTCTGACATCTTCGCTATGGATTCAGTAATAACAGTGTTAGTAAATATTCACCCGTAAACAAAGGTGGACATGAACTACTCTCCACAATTCAGTTTAGTAGAAGTCAATACAGTGTAATAATCACAGTGACTTTTTTCTCAGACCTACTGTGACAAATAATACAGAAGTTTAAGTGTCGACCGCATACTGGCTAACAGTTCTTTGCGCACTTTGAAGCGGGTTACCCCTGACTTGAAGATCCCGCGCTAGTTATCGCGGCTCTGCGGCTTTCATTTTTACGTAAAAATCAGTACTAAGACTGCAAGCAGTAGGACTCATCTCCCAGTCAGTTTATAAGGGGTACATTTATAAAGAAACTGTGGTACTGCGTCGGTTGGGGTTATTACAAGGAAATTGGTTTATCGTTAATTTTGCTATCGAACAGTATTTGTAAAGCTGGTGTTTCGAGCGTTAGCCCTTTATATAATTTCAGTTTGTTTACTTTCAAGTGTGACGAAGCAGTTCTGTTTACGGCAAACGGCAAACGGTTCTTACCATCGGCTCTCAGCCGTGGACTAGTAAATATTTTGTAATGGCTGTAGACAAGGTGCTCCAGGGTTGATTTAAGAATCGCTTAAAACGGTAGAAGAATATTAAGAATCAATTTCGCCGTTTTGTAAACGCCATGTCAAAAACGCTTTTCATAGGAGAAAACTGACAAAACTGCTCTTAACGAATGAGCCATTTAAAAAACTGAGCGTGGTGAGATCATTTTTCGATAAATAAGTTCATGGCCCTTTATGAAATATTTCAAGAGAAAAACTGCTTGATGTAGGTTTACTTCGGGAAGGCGGAAAAAGTTAAATTAGTAAGGCGCATTTAGACTCCCTCAGAATGTGTTCACTAGCATGGTATATCTGCTCTGATTATTATTGGTTCATGCGTGGCAAGTTAAGGAGGCGGCGAATGGGCGTTCGATGGGCTGATCAAAATAAAAAAAATGGCAGTGAAAACATCAGTCGAATTTTGAAAAATCGCATCATGAAAAATCATGAAGCACTTCCAAGGGCTTGTCTGAACATACATTCGTGAACATTTTACTGTTATCCTTTCGTTAACGAAATAAACGCCACATTCGCCTCGAGAGTCCTGGCAAAATCATGTGAATACATATTGCATTATGTAAAATTACCTATTATGAAATTCACGGGTTGCCTCGAGAGTCCTTGCAAAATGATATTAATACGTAATTTATAGTGCGGTTATTACGAACCAGAATAACGAGTCAACTTAAGTCGAATCCGCTGCTTTCGTTGAATGTCTGTTCTCGTTAAACGTTTTGATTTTTTTCCCGCTTCGACTTTGATCATGTTCCGCTTTTTCCACAAACAAAATTGAACTTACTTTAGGGACCAGATCCTGAGTAAGACTCGTCAAATGGCAGTTAGCGGCTGAAATAACATCTTTCTTTAACGTTGAAAGTGAACTACGCAATGAAAGAATTTACGAATTGGCATTTACAAAGAAATGCAAATTTTTGATGTTTGGACTTTGTTCGGGGATTCCCCCATTATGATGTCATATCACTATATTTTGCCCAAACACCTGAAACGTGCAAGTTGTCATGTATAAAACAATCAGTTTTAAAACTTGTCCCAATTTATTGAGTTTTTAAGTTTTCGGACTCTTTGGATGGTAAACTTGTTACGTTTATGTCTAGATAATGTGACAAGGATCAGCTTTAGAGTTGGCACTTTTGAAGGAAGAAGCATTGCTTTTTTTGTGTGTATGAAGCACCAAATGTTAGACCGTAGGTATTAGTGAAGGACTTTATTGGTAAAGAAAGAAATATTATTATATTAAAGTTCACATGGCAACCAAGTGGACAATCAGACATAGTTTGATGCTACACTGGTTTGCAGATTTAATGAATGTAACCGAAGAAGTTACAATTCATAGACCCAACGTTTCGACACTCCCGTCTAGTGCCTTCATCAGGGGTGATCTAAACGCTGCAACAAGAAGTCCTTTTATATGATCACTAGTTAGCGGCCTTTTTTCTGACGAGGTGTAAATAGGAGTCAGGAAGCAAACCGCCAGCGTCAAGATTTAAAGGAGCGTGGGCAGAGTTAATATGCCAAGCCTCCAAACAAAGGCGCTGGTGGTAACGCCGATTAGTGGTGATAATTTTAGAATTATCACACCCAATTGTATGGTTGGTTAGGCAAGTATGCTCCGATAAAGCTGAATTTTCCTTTTTTCAAAGAAAAACCGCTTTTTGGTGCTCTTTTAACCGTGTACCAAACTGGCGTTTGGTCTGTCCGATGTATTCGTTGTCACAGTCATTGCAAGGAATAGAATAAATGGCGTCGGTTCGTTGTTCTTTGGTGACAGGATCCTTAGGTTTGGCGAAAATATGCCCCAAAGTCTGAAAAGGTTTTTGAGCAACTTTAACGTTGTATTCAAAATTCTCTTGATGGGTTCAGTAACACCCTGTATGTAAAGAATAACACCAAAACCAGTCGCTGGTTCCCTTTCCTTTCTTCCCCTCTGGACACATTTAAATCAAGAAAGGGCAAATGTCTATCCTTTTCACGCTCAAGGGTGAATTGGATCGACGGCTCAACTGAATTCAAATGCGACAAGAGGCGCTCCGCTTCATTTCCGGATACCACAGAAATAGCATCATCGACATATCGTTTCCAGAAAAAGGGTTTTAAAAGGGTTTTTAAAAGGGTTCTTTAAAAGGGTTTTTAAAGGGTTTAAGGGTTAAACTTTGTAACTTCTTCGGTTACATTCATTAAATCTGCAAACCAGTGTAGCATCAAACTATGTCTGAAAGAAATATTAGCTCCTTTTTTGTGTATGAAGCATCAAATATTAGGTAGTGAAGGACTTTATCGGTAAATCTAAACCCTGGGAATGAGAATAGAACCAAGATGGTTGGCGCAATTTTACTTTCCTCGCTTATATACATCCTTTTTCTTTGCATAAATGATATCTTCTTCACTTTCTCTCTGACTGATACTCACAATGCTTTTACAGAGTTCAACCGTGCACGGTCTGGGTACTACATTTTAAAAAAGTTAAAGGTTTTCTTTGCTTCCTTTGAGAAAGTAGTGCAACGGTTACGAATGATAGTAACAGGAAGGGAAGGAATCATGATATGATCCGGCTCTGGTTGGGGAACGGTATTGCTCGTATCAGTCTCCGAGGAAGTTCGAAGAAGTACATTCCATCGTCAGTTAAATACCTTACTCCAGGGAAAATGTCCTGTCGTTCATCATTCCTTTCGGTTAATTCAGTGTCTTGACTAAGCTCAACTCCTATTTGGATCTATAAGAGGGCGGCAGCGGTTTCTAACCCAATAATAATGCGTAGCAAAGCAAAACCGCAGACATTAGTTCAGCACGGTTTTTTCAAGAAAAATGTGTCTTTTGGTGGCAAGTTAGTGCTAAAACTGGGGTTCTAAAAGAAACGTTTCGTCTTTGTTTATTTTGGCCGCTGGTCTTCCTGTTCGCTGTCTATGTCGAACTCGTTCTCCAGTTCGTCTTCTTCCTCTCTTACAGCTCATTCTTCTTGCCACACACTTCATCCTCGTTGCCTTCCAGAGGGTTAGATTTGCTGTACTGCTTGAAGGCGTTAACGACCAAATCCGCGGTTATCTCTTCCCATGCTTTGTGGATCCATCGCAAAACGTGGAAGTTTTTCGTCATAGAAATAGTTTGCCAATTGATGACAATGGAAACTTTGACCCGGGTGTCCTCGGTGATTTATTTGTAGCTGTTCCAAGACACACAAATCCTTTACCTGACTGCTCTGACGATCTCCTGTGGTTTGGTTCTATTAATTACAGGACACCTAATCGGTATAAAAACACTGCTGGAGTTCAGGGTTTTCCATCATTTGAAACGCTTCCATTACTGCATATGAAAACAATCAATCAGCAACTCCTGATTGTTGCTCAGGCACTCTACGAACTATGTATATAGATACATGTAACTTACAATTTAGGGGATATATCACATTGAAGTTATCTTCGTCAGCGGTGGTTTAACATTGAAGAAATGTAAAATGGTTTCCGTGTTTATATCAGGCTATGTAAACACGGAAACCACTTTACATTTCTTTTATAAAATAACTAATCAAAGAGGAACGAAAACCGTGTTTACATACGCTCATGTAAAATGGTTTTATGGCCAATCAGAGCGCGCGTACTATCTGAATTATTTTATAAAGACTAATCGGGAATAAAAGCTTAACTATACTCGCAGCTTTCAGCGAAGCGCTGGCTTTTAGCTATCGGAAGTATAGGTGCACAAGTCATGCTTGTACGCGTGACAGTATCTGGAATCTATGAAATCTGTTCTACGCTCCTGTGGACTTGCTAAGGTTACAGTGATGTAATGATGTAAGAACTCGAGTTTCCATTCAGCTCTGTCAGACTTCTGCAAGGAAATAAAAGACAGAAATCAGATTATTTTTATCTGCGTTCTCTGCAGAGTTTTAGCGAATCATGAAATCGAAAGAAACATCTTAACCCCCCATTTCGCTTATGTACCAATGCCTTTTGCCAACTATGTTAACTTGGCTGCAATGTAAGTCTATGTATCGCCAAGCTAGCTGGGCTGCTCCTCGTGACCTGTCAAAGACTAAGAAGGATGTTATCTTAAGATGGCTTCGTCAACGACACCCCCAGGTAGGTAATCCAGGCAGCCTTTACACAGTGGACCAGCTCCGCGAAGATCTACAGATTGCTCTTCAACTAAAGCATTCAACGTTACCTCAATACATGACAGCGTGGGCCTCCATCAAGCAAAGCTACAACCAGCAGATAAAAAGAATCTTGAGAGAAATTATAATACAAGAAATGATTCATATCTGTCTTTTGGCCAACATCCTCAACGCTGTGGAGGAAACCCCTCTTACTATTTCAAGGATTTTATCCCTAATTACCCATCTCGACTTCCTGGTGGGGTACATCCTGACCTAATTGTGCCTATAGAAATGATCTCCCTTGCTTTGATAAGGAATATCTTCATGAAAATTGAGCAGCCAGAATTTGAACTCCAAGACAAGTTGGGGCATGTGTGGGAGTATGTTCGTTGCAGTAGATCCAGTACGATGGATTTCCAGAGGATAGATGCAGGTGAAGGCTGCTCCAACGGTGACATCAATAACTATCAAGGCCATTGTCACAATCCAACTGATAGGGACCATATTGCAAACTATGGTATACGAGGTGAGCCGTAAAATTGAATATTTACGAGGCCCCTAATTCTTACTTACTCTTTTATTTATTAACTTTTAGGTCATCAAACTGATGCTATGGAACGTTTGCGTCAAGCGGCAATGGCTACGAGTTCCACAAAATGAGTGAAAACCGTACGAAAACTGCAAGGTAGGGAAATTTTTCTTGACCTCCTTAAGTTCTGCTTAAAAGTCCGATTGGAACATCTGAAGCAATATAAAAATACCGAACCAGCGATCAGTTCCGGCAATATCTTTCATTTGTCCTCAATGGGTTTCTCAGCCATGTTTTCAGAAACGATAACTGATTATTCAGAAAAGACTCAGAACATTCCTTTGTTCAAATATCACTACTCTTGACAATAACTCTAAATGCAGTGCAATAATGAAACTTTCTTTTTTACTTACTTCATATAGCACTAGGTTAAAGCAACCGATTTTATGTGATCATTCCTATTTACATTTTTGTACCACTGGCTATGTTTTGTCGTTAAAATGATCACAGTTTTCTTTCCTCTTTATACTTAGCTTCCTGGTGGAAATACTAAGTAATTCGTCTACCACTATAACACAGGTGGAAACTTTTACCATTACGTATTGAGAGTCCCGGGAAACTTGACAAATTGTGGAAAAATAGTGATATATTTACCGGGAACCAAAGCAAACAAGTTGTTGCTTTCCAGTCAATTGATGAGCATGACATCTCAGTTTACGATTACTATACCGCAGTTGACGCTATTCAGGGTATTATTGAACAGGGTGAAGGCAGCGATCCCTGTAATCCACCAGCCTGTAATAAGAATGAAATGAAGGATCTTTCACATACTTCTTGTTTAAATCAGTCGTCGAAGGGCGAGGCATTCAAGTGGTGAAGGAAAGTGCTGGTACCACATGTCTCTCATCGAATTGACAAACCTAAGGTAAGTCATCGCAACCAAAAAGCAAACAGAGGAATGAGGAAGGTAATAGATTGGCCAAACTTAATATGTGTTTTACCTTATACAGCCTTGTAATGGTACTTACTACATCAATGGCTCGGAGATAAGTTTTGATCCAGAAGGCGTCTGGCCAATGATTCCCAACCCTAGGTTGTCAGATCATACTCCTGGGTCAAAAGCATACAAACAAGCAGTGCTATTCAACAAAGCGTACACAAAGCTTCTCAAATCACTGGAACACGCCTGTAATGGTCACCCAGAGACAATGGAAGATGCTACTGGCCTCATGTACGGAGTCGAACTTCACTTGAAAGCTCTGCTGCGCGCGCCTGTTGACGATAACGGTGATCCTGACATTGAACCCAACACCGGTCCAACTTTTGAATGTACACCGTGAAGCATAGACTGTCATTAACTGGAATTTATTCGTGTGCATTGAACAACCCTCTCATCATCATGGGTATTCGGTGCAACTACTTAAAATAAATTTATTTTTCTTTGCGTGCAGGGAGTTAACCATATATTAAAGGGATAAAATATTTCTCAATTTCATCATTCACATGCCTGTGGCCCTTTGATTGTAGGCTCTGCAATTACATACATTTTTCATTTTATAGAAGCCTACACCTGGATTATAAGATTTCAGGCCGAACTTCATGATCTTTGGACCATCACAATTTAATATTTTCTGGTTGTTTTCCATTCATTTGTCGTCATCTGACAAACAACATCCTGCATGGATGCACAAATCAATTTAAGATTAGGAATGTTTCTGCTCCCCCTGTTGACGAAGGGTGAAAAGCCATAAAGATCTGCGTACATCTGCGTAAAAATGATAAACCATGTTATGCAGTATGATTACTTCTGCAAGTGGAGTATTGTACGTGGCATACAACATAGGTCTGAGCACTGAACTTTCTGGGACCCCACAAGAGCGATCGTAACTTGAGCAACTTTGGTTATCAAAATAAAGACTACTTTCTCTCTGTCACAAAAGGCGATATAAATATGACAAATTGGCCATCTTCGTTGGCACAGAGAACGTCAGTTTTGGAATCGGATGAGCGCGGTTTCAGTTCTGTGGCCAGTATTGTATGTGTATAACTCAGTAAACTCACCAACTTTGCTCACGTGTTGGTTGATGGACTTACACACACACACACACACACACACACAAAACAACAACCAAACGAATCACATACTGAGTAAAATTCTTGATGAAAACTTATATACTTTCTAGCTGACGGTAGATACATTATTCAGTTGGAAACCACTCTTTTGAGTCGATTGAACTGAATTGGGAAAAAGCCGTTGCAAAAATATCCTATAAGGTCTAGTTACGTTTTGATATTCTAAATCAGCACCTTAAGGGTCTCTTTAAAACCTTTTGTCCCCTAAGAGTGTTTAGTATTTAATTTCTCCTAACTCAGAATATGGTTTGCTTACTATTAAGGTCACAGTGGAGTCATGAGAATCGTTACACTCACATGAATGGAAATTCTTTGCTGAGGGACAAAAGTTAGGGGGCCAGTGTAAAGGAAGCTAGCATTACATAGCTATTGAATACGGACGAATTCAACACGACCATCAGTAACGTATTCAGGTTTATGATGGTTGGTCTAACAAAAAAATTCATATAGGATCAGGGAATAAGAAAAGTAAACATTTTAAAGGCTAGTAACGAACTGATCCTCACAAGGTACAGAAACTGCAGAAATGGAGTTTGAACATCATTAAAAATATCACGAATCCGAGCATAAAATGACCTACATGTAAGTAATAAACTTAGTCCTTGATACGGCTTTACCCCACGTGGTGAAATTTTCTGGCAATAGATTATAGAATTCCAAACCGAAACTGACGATGTATTCAGTTAGAGGATAACTGTAATAGAAGTAACTTGTAACTTCTACCGCAAAAGTTCAAATTAGCATGAATATTTTTATTTGGGCTCTTTAAAGCGTCTCTTTACGAAATTACTTTTGGCTGAAGGCCGTTAAAAGAAGAAAGGGATACAAGGCTTGCAACTTGGTGGCCGCCAGCCGCGACCTCCTTCACATGTCTCCATTTCTTCTCGTAACGTCCTCCAGCCAAAAGTAATTCCGTGAAGACACTCCAAACGGCTCATGAAGGCGAAAAAATACCCCAAATGCATCGATCAATATTTCCTTTAACTTTATTGAGATATTCAGAACGAGATATAATTTAGATGTGCAATTTACAGAGCTTTATTTATAACCCTCATAGATTTTGTTCGTCTCATGTCAACGATAATTAACCGCGAACACATAGTGTGGTCTGCCTGTGCCGTGACCTATAAAACAAGCAGTAAACCCCTGCTTGATGATAGGTTTTGCCCGTCGCTTCCTGATCGGAAAGAGCCAAGAGGTAACAAGAATATGTTTCGATTAATACCACATTATAGTACCTCAATATCAGTACCACAAAGTGTACCAATTAGAATGAAAAATGAAAAGAAGATTCTAATCATTTTAACTGATACGTACTCTGCCAGTGATCATCATGGGTGATAATTCGCTCGGTTTCTTTCTGAAGTTTGAATTCTCTAACATAATAGATAGTTCATGGTCATTAATTTCGAATCAATTCATTAATTCGAAATGAACTTCTAACCGAAAAATTGGAGGTTACGATCAGATAGTATCAGCTTCAGGATCATATTGAAGTAATTGAAAGTAAAAATCAGCCTTTCGTTCCAAAGATGGAATGTCATCATCATCACTTGGGAATCGTACTCTAATATTCCATCTTCCTCTTCGTCTTCTTGCTGCTCCTCGAAGTCAGAGCGTTCGAGGCTGACCGGTTCGACCGGCTGAATTTCTCTCTGATAGAGGTACGACGGGGAAGTTCCATCTCTTGCCATCGTTGTTTCCTGTCTGATAGAGCGCTAACGCACTGCTGCAACAAATGTTTACGCCCAATCCTTCATTTTCTGTATGCTCTGTGGTGCCATCGGCACAGGTGGTAACGGTTGAATTGCTGGTATGCTCGACAGGATCATGGCTCATTCGGGTACAGTATACCAAGAATGTGGATTTGTAAAATAGTACGCTGCCCAATGGGTTGTCCTCATTAAGCCTTCTTTTACTGCATTTCTAAAGTTTCTTGAGTAATCTAACACCTTGCAAAGTTTATCTTTGTGATGCACAGTCGAGTGAATATTCTTCACTTCTAGTGTCGTGCAACTCAACAGGTTAACAGCATTTTATCGGTATAACTCTGAGACTTGCTAGGCAGCCCGACCGCCTCTTGAATGCTAGAGAGTCTGTGCACTTGGTGCTTTTCATGGACTGAGAGGTCAATTTCTTCATAAATTCTCGTCAACGTACATCCCGGTTCTCGGTTCGTTTAGGTGATTATTTCCCGAATCCCGCGCCTCAAAATCGCCGATTCCCATGTCCCGTTCATAATGGCAATCCCGCATCTCGCTCCCTTCCTACTTAATATTCCCGGATCACGGCCTTTAATTAAGCCCAATCTCGGATACCGAAAAACCTATAGGGGATCCTCTGGAAAGGGATGTACTAACCATAGTGAGGAGAAGTTTGTTTTCGCCATGGAAATTAAGGTCGCAAAAAATTTCAAGTGCGTATTGGCTGTCGTTAACGTATGATGGTAAAATTTTGACGATAAGAGCCACAATTTTTCCTAAATAGCCTGAAATAAGCTCGGTGGGACAACTGCAGGCCGAGACGATGGATCAATGTATTCGCTCTGATGATGGGCTAACGCTTCGCTCTGACGAAGGGCTGACGCTCGAAACGTTAACTATGAAAGTCTTTAGGATGGCCAATTTACGTTATCAACTCAGTTGATGATACTAAATTAACCGATAATAGGATAGCTTTTTTGTTATACATGGTACAAAATGCCATGCATCTAACTTCGTGCATTTAGCTGGACGGAACAGGACATATAATAAAATAAACTTGGTAAATTTTAATCACACACTTATTTCCGTACATGAAAACCAGACAATCTTCTTACAACAGAAGTATTCACCTCTTCATGAATCTCTCTGACATACTTTTAAAGCAAAGTAATAATGTAAACATGGATGAACGTTCAAGATTCTCTATAGACACGAAAAAAAATGCAACCAACTTAAGTAATAGTTAAGTCTAACAGTAAAGTAAAAAAATGTTACCTCTAATAAAATGTGAGATAACAAAAGATTTATGCTATACTGCCATCTGAATTACGTGTCACTTTGTAATCATTACGGTACAGTAGTCAATGATTTTCCTGGGGGTGGGGAAGGTGCGCTGAGGTCTACCGTATGTGAGGTACGAACCGGCGAAACAAGACCAGTCCTTAGCACTGACTTCTTCAATGTTCTCAGTGACTGTAGTTGCGAATATACAAGTTACTGTTTATCTTGAAGAACCTTATCAGAGAATAACAGCCTCATCCATAAGGCAGCTCACGGGCCGAAATCCGTCCCAGTCTTTTCGCATTCTACTAATCGAGCTGATCAGGCAGCGACTAAATAACTTTCCTCTCCCCCACGCTATCTTTTAATGACAAAGGAAAAAAGTTTTCAACGACAACTTATAGCTCTATATGCCTACGCTCTAAAGCTACAGAGAAAAATACGATTGGCCGACACTTCCCCTATATTTTAGAGAAACTCCGTTTATACGTTGAATTCAAGTTAACCTAAGCTATAAAATTAGCGTGGTGCAAAAACAGGACACCCTACTGTAGATTTGTTTTCATAAGAATGTTGACAGGAACCCGCTTTAAACAGTGAATGACAGTTCGTGATGCTTTTGAATAAGGGAGATGGTGAAGTGTTGCAACTTCCCGTTTCTATTAGGTTCTCAATTCATCGCCCTATCAAGTTCCATAAGAAGTCCTGGAAGAACTTCACATCTTGGCTCTTGGTAGCCGTGATATTCCTCCATTCTCCTGTCGGCCAAGTCACGGCGCCTCCGTCCTGTCTCCTCTCGCACCATACGCAGCCGATCGAGTTGCTGAAGTCGGTCACGTGCTCCGTTTACATCTATCCGCAGATGAAGATCTTCTGCTATTTTCAACGCCTCAGACACTGAACGGATGGCTGTGGATGGAAACAAGAACACAGACAGAAAAAAGACTAATCTCGTTATTTTCTTCTATTCATATTCTCCTTGAACTCAGCAGTATACGGGGGCACTATTGTACACAACCAATTAGGGTAGATAGTTTTGTACCAAGTGGTACAAATGAACCAATCATATGGCCGGATAAGCTTACAATATGGCGATTTGATGTCACGCGATCTCTTTGGTTCGTTGCACCAGGTTGTATATAATTCTCCTCTCTGATTGGCTGTGTACCATAGTTCCCTGTATACTACTTAGCTCCTTGATCATAATAGCCTTAGCTTGATTCGCGATTTTGAGTTGAGAAAAAAAGAGAGAGTCTGTACCATTTGGCTGCCAGTCTTTCTTCATTTTCATGGCGATTGCCTTGAAACATAAATCCACAAAGGCGTCAGAGAGTGATGGAAAGAAAACAAATGGAAGATACTGGGCTTATCATATCACATACACAGGAGAGATCATAATTGCAGACACGGATAAGGTGAAGTTCAATTTCATTCTCGATTCAGTTCCATAACCAGTATATGCAGTAATGGTGTCTTTTATTATTAGTTTCCATAATTACCATTGAATTAATATCATGTTATGTACCTCAAGAATACAAACGTTAAAACTGTACAAACCTTCTTCATATTGTCCTTTTCTTGTTAGCAGATCACCATAAGCACTATAAAACCCTGCCCTATCTCTCATAGGACAATTGGTAAGGTAATCTCTCTTGAACTTTTGAGCAAATTCCTCCGCTCTTGCTAAATCCTTTTGGGACACATCCGTCTGAAGGTTGGTGGCTTTGCCTTTTCTTGAGCAAAGGTAGAAGAGTATTGCCCTGATAAGAGCTCTTCTGCGACTCCTCGCATTCCTGCTTTGATTCCTTTCAAATCGATGTCTGGGGCGCAGTATCACATCCTTCAAGGCTTTCTTCAACTTCTTTCTTTCTGATTTGGTGATTCCCCTGACAGCTGCCTTCTCGCACAACAGAGCAGCAACCCTGGTGTGGTTGATTGAAGTCTCTTCATTGGGAACAACTGCCTGTAACAGCTGTAAGAAACGAAAAAGTTTGCAACGCTCAAGCCTTCCCCTACTGCCAGCTTTCTTTAAAAATTGTAGCAACAGGGCTCTGGATCACAATAAAAATTGATGTATAAAAGTGGCCTTAGCTGCTTAGCAGGGCTCAAAATGGGCCCTTTGCGTTCATAAGGAATCAAAAGTATTAACCCTTTAACCCCAAAGATAGACTGGCTTCTAATTTCTACTTACAATATCACCCCTTAGTCAAACATTAGCGTTGAAAGATTAAAGGACATAGTCACAAAGTAGAGAAGCTCTAGATTGTCAAACAAATTCTCCTTGTCAGCACCTTAGGAAATTTATAAAGAACAGTAAGGAGGGTATGCATACTGATGCTACAATGAAAAGCTTTCACACTTTAAGAGATACCATGAAACAGAGGAGTCACAACAAACCTCAGTAGAGGAATCCAATAGTTCTTCAGCCTTCTCAAAGTCTTCCTCCATCCTGAAGGCCCCAGAGACAACACTTTTTGCTCTTCCAACAAGTGCGTTATAGTTTGTTGAGTGGTTCCTGTTTGCCTGAATACAGACTTCTTCACCTGCATGCTTGCATCCTTCAAAATCCCCCATCTGATACAAAATGAGACACTCCTGAAAAATAGATCAAATTCAACCACATAAGAATTTTCAATATGCCATACGGTATTTCCTAAAATAAGTGCTGAGGCGTTTATTTAATCGAGGGGGTGCATGTTACACTGTATTCTCCAGTACTGATTCTGCCAAAATTGAAGCTAAATAATTACAAAGAAAGTGGTAATGGAAGCAGGTTTTCCCCTTTTCCCTACTATTTGAGGAAGTGAGGAAGGATTGGGGGGGAGGGGGGCACCACCTATTCAAGAGGGGTGCTTGTTTTACTCTGGCTGCTGAAAGAGTGCAGCTGAGAGTGAAGTAGCTACAATCATTATGTTACCGACCGTCTAATGCATCTACCTCTAATTTCACAGCAAGAAGCAAATCCTGATACTTTTCCTCCACATGATTGGATGTATTTATGTGTTGCATGAGACACAGCTTATCTCTTCTGAAGCACTCAATTGCACCTGAAAGTAATAGAAATATTCATATATTAATATTCCCTGGCCACTAACATAGTACAGCATTCTCATTTACCTCTTACTGAAGAGTGTGCAGATTTTACAAAGGGTCTAACATCTAGTTTTATATCCATATGATATGGTCACCAAACAACAACTTGAAGGTAACATTTGGGGATAAATTAAGTATTGCATTGTGCATCCTGTTATGCTCATAAAAATGAACCTGTAATTAGGCAAATAAGCGTGCATGCATTCTGAGAACATGGTATTGTTTTTCAATCAATGCATGGGGGAGACATGAGCACAATGACCTATATTTGTTATGGCATCATTTTGGTGTACAAATTATCTACTTTAAATTCCTGCATACTATGAACAATCTTGTTTTCCAGTTATTTAATTCTTTTAATGGCTTAAGGAAACAGCATTGATCATATGTTGATCAATGCGAAACTTCAACATCCCCTCCCTTCCCTCAGACAACCCATGGGCTTTTGACTGTAACAGTTGTCTGTGCCTAGGTGGGGGGAAGGAATATTTCAACCTTACCTGCCTGGGGTGGGGAGTTTGAACCAAAAGAACTGAAAGAAAAATTGAGGCATTTAAAGGTAAAAAGTTCAATTTCACAAGTGAGTGGCTCTGAAGAAAAGGTCTCCAAGGTCTACAATCAAGGAACAAAATTGTTGACACATTGATCTTTTCAACTCCATTAACCCCTTCCCCCAAAACAATGTTGTATCCTGAAACCACAAACTTTTAGCCAACATTGAGTGGGGAAGGGGGGTCATGTTAATGATTTAGAGTGTGGTAGAAACAGGAGTGTTTTTCTACACTAACATATAACTCGTAAAACATAATGTGTTGACTAATTTTGGACCTGGTCGTAGGTTTTAGAGCTTGGTCAATGAGTAGAAAGTGATGTGCTTGTTTTGCTATTACAAACAAATTGATTACCAAACCCAACACTTGGATAGGGCATATGAACACAACCGAGGGGTTCAAATGCTTAAAGGGTTGCCTGGTGGAGCAGGAAAGAGGAGGATGTTGAAGCTTCAAAATTAATAGAACAAGGTAGAATTTCTTGAAGATTACCATTTTCCACCAATTCTTGAAAATACGAGACAATATTCTGACCCTCAGGGATTCCCAGAATGCCTAGAAGTATATGCAGTACACAAAAATTTAGAACTGAAAATAATTTTCAAATTTAAAAAGTTCTCCTAAAAACTTTCTACTGACAGCACTTGAGTTACTATAACCCCTTATGCTAATTTATCCACACACTGCTTTAGGAACGGACACCACAGGTCTGTTACTTCTAACAAATGATATGTACCAGTACTCACAATTTTGCGGATGAAAATCAAGTAAAGTGATGATGTATCCTCACATGTGAAGTGCAATTTAGTAATTGCAGAAAACAAGCTTGAAAAAATTCAGGCTTTGAGATGATAAAGGGGTATATATAATTTATGCAAGTGTTTTCACTGCTATGCAGCCACATGAATCAACTTTTATTGTTGTAATAAATGCACAGTGAGCACACACTTACTGACA